CACTGATTTTACCAAGGATTGAAAAAAATTACGCTGTTACGCACGTGATTTTGTAATTGTATACAACTTTGTGTTAGAGCGTCGCGTCATTTCGCCATTTTAATCACGCTGAAGAGCCATGTTTGACAGCCGATATAATTTGTAATTGAATACAACGCGAAGATTTATAACGCGAAGATAATAACGCTTTCACGAGCGAAAACAACGCGTTCTGTTTGACAATGCCTTAATAAATTTTCATAATATTGTTTTTACTTAATTTATTATCTTTAGCTTGACGTACCGGTCAAATACCGCTGGTCCATAATAGGAATCAACGGGGAGACTGTCCGTAAGCTTTGTAGTACGTTTAAAGTACAAATTGTAATTCCTCCAAAAGAGGAGTACAAAAATACAATAAAGGTAAGTGTAATAAAATTGTAGTCTATAATATTTTTGTAATAAGTTAATTAGATTCATTAAATTCTTTGTGTGTGTTATTTGATCATATTGACTTATTGCAACGATCAATTATTATAAAAATCAAAATATAACTAAAATTTATTGTATTTTAGATTACTGGACCTCAACAAAACTTAGAACAAGTCGTCAAGGAAATCAAGACGCTGATGGAGAATTTTGATAATAAACAAGCTCTTGAAATTCAGGTATTTTGATATTCGGTTTATTTTTTCTTTTATGCTATACAGGCTTTTAAGGCCTTTCGCATGCTTCCACCAAGTTTCTCCATCCATTCCGGTCCATTGCGTCATCTTGTCGTTTTGAATTGTCAGTATTTAAAATATACTTTTTTACCCTGTCTAACCATCTCTGGCGAGGTCTTCCTCTTGGCCGCGTTTTTGTTACATTTCTGATTAAGACATTTTTTATAATATTTTCGTCAGCTCGCCAGACGTGGCCAGCCCATTCCAAGCGCTTTGCCTTCAAGAATAATCTTATATTCGGCTTGTTAAATAACATTTCCAGATCTTTATTTTTCTTTCTCATATTCTCCATTTTTAAGTCAAACAGGTCCGTGAATTTCCTTTCGGAGGTAAGTAATTTTTCTTCGTCTCCTTGTGTCGTAGACCATGTCTCACATGTATACATTACTATGGGACGTAGAAAAGAAGTATGCAGTTTCTCTTTTGTTTCTTTGGACAAAAGTTTAGAGCTTAGCATCTTATTCATGGCAAAATACGCTTTATTCACACTATTTATTCTCAATTGGTTCCCACTATGCATATTATTTTTTGTGATTACGTTTACTCCAAGGTATTTAAACTCATCCACTTGTTCACAGGAGTAAGGGCCCACTTTTAGTGCTGTTTTATTTACTGAACGTCTAGACATTATCAGGTATTTGGTTTTTTTCCTTATTGATAGTTAGGTTCATTCTGTGGTTGGACTCTATTACTTTCTCTGTAGCCTCAACTACATCGTTTTCTGTATCACCTATAATAACAATGTCGTCAGCGTACGCTAGCATTACATTTTTGCCTTTCAGCTCCATTTCATGATTTACTGATATATCTCTAATAACTTTTTCAAGTGCTAAATTAAATAGTATAGGAGACATTGTATCACCCTGCTTTAATCCAGATTGGACTTCAAATTTTTGTGACAGCTCCCCTTAGTACCGTAATTTAAGGTATGTGTTTGAATTGCATATTTCTATCAATCTGACTAGCGATACTGGGATTTCAAAATTCCTCAGCGCTGTCCATTGTTGTTGTCTGTTGATACTATTATAGGCTTGTCTGAAGT